AAAAAAAAAAAAAAAAGAATGTCAGCTCAGGATCTGAGCTGCTCCTCCTCCTTCCTCTCTCGAATTCCACCTTGTCTATAGTTATTTAAAGATCTCTCCTCCACTAGGTCAGTCCTTTCTTCACTTCGTCCCTGAACCTTGTTTACTTAGCTATAGAGAGTTGCAAATACCTATATTGTAGAGCCCTCATGTATCTCACCAGCTCCCTGTACTCCAATACACTGAAATGGCACTTTTAACCAGGTTCTATTCTGTCACAGAATTCAGCTCTGTGCTACCTCTGCCACTGCCAGGAGTTTGAGTCATCCCTGCCCATAAGCCAAGAGGGAAAAAGTAGGAATGGCATGGAAATGGCCTCATGAAAGGAACACCAGGGGACTCTCTTTACCTCTTTAACATTATGCTCGGTGGGATCTTTCTGTGTTGGGCTATGTCCTTTCAAGATAAGCATTTTCCAAGGCATGTTACTGTTTACAAGTTGCTTTCATATCCATTTGCTTATTTGACCCTTTCAACAATGCTATGAAGTAGATAGGTATTATTATCCCCACTTTGCAGATGAGAAAACTGAGGCTCTGAAAGGGGAAGATAATTTCTCAAAACCTCTACTGTTTAAAAAATGACCCCATATTGAAACCAAGGTTTTTGAGTCAATTATTCCCACTTCATCATGATTGAGTAGACACATTCTACCAAATGGCCTCCGATCCAAAAATATCCCACCTTAGTGACCCTTACCCCACAGGTTCCAGAACCAACCACACAGAACCTACTGGGAACATCCTTGGAATAAATTGTGCTTATAGCCCTGGGGCTTTGCCTTCTTTGCCCAATCAGCTGGAACCCAAGAGGGGACTGCTACAATTGCTTGCAAGTCTGAGGCATCACCTAACCACAGTGACGGTTTGGCTCTGGTCCATGCTAGCCTCGACAGCCAGTCCTTCTAGCTGAAGCTAAGGCATGAGGAGACAGGCTATCATTACAACTGGTTAAAAACAACACGTGTTGGGGCGCCTGGGTGGCTCAGTCGTTAAGCGTCTGCCTTCGGCTCAGGTCATGATCCCGGGGTCCTGGGATCGAGCCCCACATCGGGCTCCCTGCTCCGCGGGAGGCCTGCTTCTCCCTCTCCCACTCCCCCTGCTTGTGTTCCCTCTCTCACTGTGTCTCTCTCTGTCAAATAAATAAAACCTTTTAAAAAAATAAAAATAAAAATAAAAACAACACGTGTACCAAAACAAAACAAAACTTTATTTACAATTGAAAAACAGAAAATCTTGGGTTCTGAATCTGTGACATTTCCAAGGTCTCTTGATCAAAAACGGGCGCAGCAGGCAGGGAAGCAAACACAGGGGCCAATCCGGATTATCTTACTCAAGAGTGCCACCCAGAGCAAGGAAAGGCCTACAATGGCAGAGAGGTGGAGGTCTGTTAGGGATGGACGAGATAGCAGCTCAGAGGCACAGGAAGGGAACATTCCATGAGAGACAATACTCCCATCTCTTCTCTACACTCCTAATCCTCTTTTCCCAAAAGAGCAGAACTGGTCTGACTCTTGCCCTCAGTCAGACCTTTGGTTCCCTAGGATAAAGTCGAGAGGTATACTACACAAGAACCAAAAATAAACAAACAAACATTTTATGGCCACACATATCATCTCATTTATCTGTCCTTCACAAACTCTGTGCAGTATATATTATCTGTAATCAAGCAAGAGGAAACTAGGGTCCCAAGGGGTTTAATGGTTTGATGGGGTTTCCTGGTCTACTTGGCTCCAAAGTCTGTGTGTTTTTTGCCAGACCTCAATGGCTCTCTGTGGAGCTCTAGAACAAAGAGCAATCTTTCTTCCTTGCAGGTTTTGGTCCCAGTGTTACAGAGAAAGTAAAGTCCACACCCTTTGTTTATGGCCTTGGTTGTTAGCTTTACTAAAAGAACACAGTGAGTACACTCAGAAACTACTCTGTCTCCCTCCCCCTAAACACGGCCACGCCCCTTTCCCTCCAAGGGAAAGCGCATCCCGGTGTCATACTGCAGATTCAGACAGAAGTTGAAACCTGGGCCCGCAAGCAGAATGCACAGAACTGCATAAATGCACTTTATAAGTTCCATGGTGCCCTAGGACCTAAGCTCTATCCTAGACCAGGCACTGTGTTAGTCAGCATGGTCCCTGCCTCAAGGAGTTCCGTCTACAGAAAACCAGGCCAACACATTTGTGATATGTTATGTTAGATGCTATATAGAGAGATGAACCAAGTACTGTGGAAGCACCCAGGAAGGCACTGCTGGCTGCGCCTAGACCTGGGAGGAGACGGAGGGACCAGGGAGTGATTCAGACTGATGGTAGCCACGTGCTCCTGGGAGCAGCTGGAAGCAACTAGGATCAGTTAGAACTTCGGATATACAGTATGTATTTCTATTGTAAGATACATGCTCAATACAGAAAATTGAAGCATACACGGGACAACAGAAATGGGGAAAAAAGAAATTTTGCTGTCTCTACACTACACAAGTAACCATTACTAACAGTTGGCTGTATTTCACTACAGTAATTTCTGGAATAGTTAAATGTACTAAATCTTGACTTTGTCACTTAACGAACATAGCCTAGAAATCTGCCAACACATACAGATCTACCTTTTTTGTTTTTAAGGCTATGTGGTATTTCACCGACCCGCGTACCTCAATGTGTGTGAGACCTGATTACGACACTGGGAGCTCTGCCTTTGTACTGGATTGGACTGGAATGAAGCCATTCTCCCCTCCCTCCCCTCCCTTTTTAGCTGGCAGGGCTTCTGCCTTTCAGGGCAGGGAACAACAGTGTCACACACCCAGCAGGCATGCAAATATTTGCTGCCAAATCTCTGGTGCTCCCTAGACCTGTGTTTTCATGTGGAACCTTTTCTCTTGCCTGGACTGCTGCACTGAACACCTCACTGGCCTCAGCTTCTCCTCCACATTGCTGCCAGAATCATCTCCGGAATAAGAAAATTCAATCACAATGTTCTTCTGCTCAAAATCCTCCAGTGGCTCCTGTTGGCCTGGCTCTTTTCAGAGGGCCAGGCTAGGCTCCCTTCTGACAATCTCTGGAGTAGGATGGACTCTCACCCCAGGGGGGAAAAAATGTGCCTAGTGCCCAAAGCCCACTCTCAGGATAACATATGAGCATCTCAGCCTGCACTGGTTCTCACAACTGGCCCTGGCCTCCTCCAGCCTTACCATCTTACCCTTTGCTTTTCATACCTTCCTGCTTTGGCCATATGGCATGATGTGCAGTTTCCCTTACACTTGCAGCTGTTTCCTGCTTTTGTGCTTTTGCTCATGCTGTTCCCTCTGCCTGGAATGCCCTCCCATTCTTAGCCACCTGAGAAGTTCTCTTCTTTCACGTACTCGGCCACAGCATCGTCTCTTCTGTAGTCTCCCCACACTGCTCCAGGCAGGGACAGGCGTTCCAGCTTTCCTTACTCTGTTCTGAACCTCCAGTCCAGTGCTTTATTGTGCTGTCATGGGCAGTTTCCCCCAGAGACTGTGAGTTCCCTGAAGGCAGGAACTGGGCTTTTCAAACTTGCAGCCTCCTATGTGGCAGGGGACCCATCTTATTACCTCAGTGCGTAGGTGTGGAAGGAATGAAGGACCAGCCCGTGTGCCACCAACATAGCCCATTACCTTCCTCTACCGGAACATATCACATCTACGGGTAATCCCAGAATGGGGGACAGTGTTTCCTAAAGCTCAGTCATTCCCACAGCACCTTCCCCACTGTTCTAGCCACCACCCACAGGTACAATTAATTTTTAACCTAATCACCATTTGAACTTTAAGAATGCCTCACGGTAAAATGATGTGTTGCACTAATTACATATTTTTCCTAAGATGCAAATGCTAAAGGATCCTCATCACGCCACTACCTAGAGCAGCGTTACCCATCTGAGATGCTTGTTGCAAACACAGCATCCCAGATCCTACCTCAAACTCACTCAACTCGAACTCTCCAGGGAAGGGATCTGGGAATTAGTAGCTTTAACAAAATGTCCCCCAGTGATTTGATTCTTTAGGGAAATTTGGGAAACAATGACAGAAGAAAGCGATCTACTGCTTGCTACAGGTACCACGTGTGGGGATAACTGGAAGAGCAGCGGTTCAGACTTAGCTGGGCTGCCAGAGCTCACAGCCACTCCCTTTTCCAAGAGACTCTCAAGCTTTCCAAACAGAGGTTCCACCAGCTCCCAAGTGGTTGTAAGTAGCAAAGAACCTGATTCAGATTGCGGCAGGAGGATCCTGAGGGCCAAGGTTCACTTATGTATACCTAACCAAATTCATCATAAAAAGCTTTCACAGGACCCACTGAGATAAAACCATGGTTTCTACATCGAGAGTTGTACAGAGAACTTCATGTTCACTAAAACCAAAGTCAGGACCTAAGGCAAAACCAGAAGAAGTTCTAGAAATGCTTCCTAGGGAGGTAGAGCTGATCAAGTCACTGCGCTGTCTGCTATCTCCTTCCCAACTTCTTTGATTTCCAGTGCCTAGACACAAGGCCTCACATGCGCAATTAGGTGATATCTTGATTTGAATACAGCAGATTTGTGCTGGACAGTGCCACCAAGAGAGGATCTCCTTCTGGGTCTTTTCTGATTGGAATATGGTGGCTTCTCGATTAAAAAGCAGGCTTCTGTTATTCCACTATAGCCTTGCTACTCAAAGTTAGCATTAGCACCTCCTGAGTGCTGGTTACCAATGCAAAATCTCTGGCCCCATCCAGACCCACTGAGCCAGAACCAGCATTTTAATGAGCTCTCCTGGTGATTCATAAGTGCATTAATGTTTGAGAAATACTGCCCAGTAGGGTTTGAAAACAGCATCTATATTAGCTGTCAACCATTATCCTGCTCCAAACAACCTAAGGGATCTGAAACACTCCCACAGGAATTAGAGATGCTTATAACTTCACAACTGGGAAGAAAAATGATGGGATGATGCCGTGCTCCCCAATCTCCACTTTTCCTTACTTTCTCCCAAAGCACATTACTGAGAAACCCAAAGTGGAGCCCCTTTAGGTCAGACTGCCACCTAGATTCCCTAACACCTTAAAACTTATGATAAGGATTTTTGGTAAAGTTAAATGAGATAATTCAAGTTCTTAGCTCAATACTTGAGCACAAGAAGTATGCAATAAATGATAACTGCCATTATGATATTGCCTCTAAGTATTAGCTACGAAAGATTCAGTTCTGAGCAAGTCATGGGTAGGAAACTGAATTGGAGGTACTGCACTTATAGTTAATTAAAATTAAATAAAAAATTCAGTCCTTCAGTCACATCAACCACATATTTCAAGTGCTCAACTGTCACATGTGGCTAGAGCTGCATGATGGACAGCATAGATACAGAACATTTCTACCATCACAGAAAGGAATTTCTATTGGATAGTTCTGGTCTAAGAAGCCTCTGGAACGTCAAATGGCCCTTGTGGAATTTGTTCTGCTTGGGCTGCAGGCTGAGAAGAGAGGCTTCCACGGGGGCAAAGGTTTACTTTGCCCTTTGCTAATAAGAGATGAGGAGGGGAGGGTTGTGATCACCACCCTCAGAAATTAAGCCCTCAACAAGGATTTCCACGAACTTTCTATAAGGGACTCAAAAAAATACAAAAAAGAAGGCCCAATCAAAAAATTGCTAAACACAGGGTGCCTGGGTGGCTCAGCTGTTAAGCGTCTGCCTTCGGCTCAGGTCATGATCCCGGGGTCCTGGGATCGAGTCCCGCATCAGGCTCCCCGCTCCGTAGGAAGCCTGCTTCTCCCTCTCCCACTCCCCCTGCTTGTGTTCCCTCTCTCGCTGTCTCTGTCAAATAAATAAAATCTTTAAAAAAAAAAAAAATTTCTAAACACTGTTCTTTCCATCTCTGTCCTCTGGTAGTGGTCAGTGGTCAATCCTTAGAAGGAAAAGGACCTAGTAGCTCAACTTAGGTTCAGCAAAGAAAGAAGTGGGAGAAGGAGGGAAACGCCAGCCACTACCAAAGAGGGAGAGCGGGCTGAGCCCTAGGGACCTCCAGTACTGGCAGAAAAGAAAGCTTAGGGTGTCAACCGTGCCTCAGAAGGGACCATTTGGCTGGACAAGAGAGAGGACCACATGCAGCTTCTAGCACACACTTGTGCATGCCTGCCTCAGCATTTGCTCACACCAGTTCCCTGCCTAAAATGCCTGACATTCTCCCTCTCTATTAACTCATGTAATAAATTTTTAATGAATGCCTGTAAGTGCCAGATGCTATGAACACAAAATAAGTCACAGATAGAGGGATGTACAGTTATTAAAATGGTCTGGCATTTGACTAGATCGCCATTCAGAAAAAAAGTCAGAGAAAAGAAAAATAGATTCTAGGTAATTTTTAAAGTATATAAATAAAACCATAGAAATATTAGAAAAAATACAAAAGACATTATGATCTGAGATAGTAAGGACCTTCCTAAAACAAGACAAAAATCACAAAAGCCATAAGAGAAAAGACTGAGAATTCTGACCTCATCAAAATTTAGAACTTCTGTTTAACAAAGGATATCACCAAAGTTAAGATAAGCAACACAATGCCAGTTTTGGCTTAAAATATGTTCTGGACAAAATAGTCACAACATTTAAAATAGAGAACTAAGATGCAGAATTTATAACTATTCAAATCATAAGAGAAGGATAAAATAAGCTATATGCTACAAACATAGCATATTGTCAGTTTGTTTTTATATGAAGTAGTTTTATGTGATGGAAGAGGAAAAGTCTTCAAGACATCTGCCAAATGGAAAACAAATGAACAAAATAGTATGATGACATTTAGGAAAAACAAAACCTCCCAAAATAAGATAGGCATAGAAAAGGCCCTGATGGACATACATCAAACTGAAAGCAGTTACCTCCTGGGACAGAAGTGGGACTGCATGGGGAAGAGGGGTAATGACAAGGACTTGAACTGTTTTCTCAAGGTTGTATTATGTTACTTTTATAATTAAAATAAACAACCAAATAAAATATGTGAATGTTCATTGAATTTTTTTTTTTTTTTTTTTAGAGCTATTAAAGTTACTACGTGGACAGCTGGGGAAGTTGGAACATGTATATTAAATAATATTACTGTGGTCATGTAGGATGCTATTTTTAGGAGTTGTTTGCTGAAGTATTTAGGGGTAAAGTGTCAAGAAGTCTTCAACTTTCAAATGGGAAAGAAATGAAGGACAACGATGGACGGAATGAAGGTAGATAGGAGGGAAAGAAGGGGAGGAGGAGAGAGGAGAGGGAAGGGGAGGAGAAGGAAGAAGGGAAAGAAAAACCCAATGTCAAAGTAAAATGGTAACACAAGAATATTAACCATTGGTAAATCTGGGTGAAAGGGAGATGGGTGTTCAGTATACTGTTCTTCCAACTTTTCTGCAGGTTTGAAAATTAAAAGAAGAAGGAAGGAAGGAAGGAAAGAAGGAAGGAAGGAAGGAAGAAAAGGCAAAACATCACCACCCCACACTAGCTGATCAATTTCTCCCTTGAACTCTGATCACACTTAGCAACGTCACTCAGGTTACTAGTGATCACCTCTGAGAATGTGTCTTACTCCCCGTAAGCTCCTGAAAGAGGCATTTTTCAATTCTCTGTCACCCAGCACAGAGCAGGCAGTGGCGAGTGTGGGGAGGAAGTGGGCCCGTGCAGGCTGAGAAACGTGTTGCGTTCACTTATGAGGCTGGCAGATACAAAGTCAGGGCCTGGAAATGAGCATCAGTTTTTTTTTTTTTAGATTTTATTTATTTATTTTAGAGAGAGAGAGCACAGAGGGAGAGGGTGAGGGAGAAGCAGACTCCTTACTGAGCAGGGATCCTGACTCAGGGCTTGACCGCAGGACCCTGGGATCATGACCTGAGCCGAAGGCAGACGCTTAACTGCCCCCCCAGAAGCCCCGAGCATCAGTTCCAACAAGAGAGGCATGACAGCTGTGTCTCCTGGCTGCCCAGGCTGCTCCCAGCCCGGAGCTGCCCAGGAGTGGAGCCAGGTCCTTCCAGCAGGAGCACTGAATGGAAGGAACTACAGTCTGACAGTGATGTCAGAGACTGCCTACTGGTATTCAGGTTGATACTTTGTAGGCCACAAAGTGGTAGAAAAGTAAAATGCCCTAATAACCCTTTCTCTTCTGTTCCTTACAATGAGCCTGAGATAGCGACTGTCTCCATTTGACAGGTGAAGAAACAGGCTCAGAAAAGGGAAGTGATTTCCCCAAGGTCACATAGACAGGAAACAAGGCTCAATCCCATGTTTTCAAGTCTAAAGTTCCTTCCACTAGGCCATGCTGTCTTCACTGGGGTCTCCTAACCAGGAGGAGAAAGACACACATACCTGATCAGTCTTGCTCTGGACTACATCTCCCCACACTGTGAGATCACCACAGGCAGCTTGGGCTTATTGTTGGGGCCTGTGGGAACATTCTAGGAGAGAAAGCACAGTGGAGATTCATCCGCTCAGACACACACGCTCACCAAACACGTACTGATGCCTGCCAGCCCCTGTGCTACAGACTGAGGACTCAGGGACTGAAATGCTAACAGTCCATGTCCTACCACAAGGGTAGAGAGAATCCAGATTGAAGAGAAAATGTCCAACATTTTAAAAAAAGCAAACCTATGCTATAAAACAATGCAGTAAGTTATAACACTGAGTTTACACAACAGGGCAGAGGAAGCACCCACTGCTTAAACAGGTCAAGAAGGATTCACACAGCAGGGGACATTTGAGCTGGGCCCACCAGGAGGAAAAGAAAGGAGAGGAGTATTCCAGTAGAGGAAAGAGCACAAGCAAACGCTCAGAGGCAGGAATGTGTATGGCATATTTATTTAGAGAAGAGCTAAAAGCCTGACGAGACTGGAATCTGGAGGCAGCGGTGGCAGAAGGGGCTGTGGAGAGGCAGCGGGGACCAGGTCACAAAGGATCATGGATTCACTGCTGAGTAGGATTTTATCAAGTAGGTGAAGGGGGCACCAGAAGCCAAACCTCAGTGAGCATCAGAAAGGCAAACTTACAGGCCAAGAAAACAGGGAGGGGCGGGGGGCCATGGACTCCTCCCTCTTCCTGAGGGAGCCCATGTAACTGCAGGCCGTAAAGACTGGGCCTAACACACTCCTGCTACTAGACCAGAATGGCCAAGATAGAGGAAATCAAAACAGGACTCACCTCAATCTTTCGCATCACTAGAAGTCCATCAATGATTTTTCCTGTAGGAAAAGTATGAGCTAGACTTTATTATTCTCATTTGCATAGCAGTTTCCAGCTTCCACTCTTAGCCAGCATCTCATTTGATCCTCATACTACCAACAGAAAATTGAGATTTGATAGAAGTGAAATGATTTGCCCAAGGTCACAGGTAGGAAGGAGTGGAGTACTAGGTCTGGGCGATTGCAAAACCCTCCTGTACCGTGCTCCCTCTGTGTGGCATTTCTTAGGTGATACCATTCGGGTTTCCCTCCCAGACATACAGATCACCCAAGTGGTTACACACTACATCAGATAGCCCCTCAGTTCTTCCCTCTGGCGCTCTAACCACACGTCGTCCCCACCTCCTACCACTTCCACCTTCCCAGAGCAGTTACATTAGTCGAGCACTCTTGGGACTAGAGTCTGAGGACTGGCTCCTTTGGAAGTCCCACTGTGTGTGAATGGGGCCCGGAATCTGGGACAGGAAGAGGACTCACCAAACACTACGTGCTTCCCATCCAGCCAATCACATTTAGAGCAGGTGATGAAGAACTGGCAGCCATTTGTACTGGGACCACTGTTTGCCTGACAGAAACCAAGTATACCTTCAGTGAGTTTTCCTGGCCATGCTAGCTGAAGGGCAAGATTCCCAAAAGAGGGGCGCCTGGGTGGCTCAGTCGGTTAAGCATCTGCCTTCAGCTCAGGTCATGACCCCAGGATCCTGGGATCAAGCCGCACATTAGGGCTTCCTGTTCAGCTGAGAGCCTACTTCTCCCTCTCCCTCTCCCTCTGCCTGCCGCTCCCCCTGCTTGTGCACTCTCTCTACCTCTGACAAATAAATAAAATCTTAAAAAAAAAGGATTCCCAAAAGAGCCTGTAACCCTGATTCCTTTCTTTCAGCAAACCTTACTGAATACCTACCATAAGCCAGATCCTAAGCTAGGATCCAAGGATATAGAGATAAACAGGATACATAATCACTGCCCCCAAGGAGCTAGATCTTTAAATGAATGTACAGTTCTCCTGCAGTGTGGATTTTTAAAATGGGAACAATTGTTCACAGGGACTGATCTGCTGTATTTAATCCAACGCTGGTTATACCTGGATTATAGTTACAAGTTAGATACCGTGGAGAAAAAGCCTGTTTCCTGTGCCAAAGCTCTTTTGTCTGAGTAGCTCTGTACTGCACCATAACCATGGTAAGAAAAGACTTCAAGGAGGTGTGAGAAGGTGCTACACTAGTGCCGTGCTAGAAACAGACTGCATTTAATCAATTGATGTTTGCTTTTTACAGCTACACCCCAATTCCTTTATTATCGAATTTTACAGGAAGTAGTTTTTTTTTGTTTTTTTGTTTTTTAAGATTTTATTTATTTATTTGAGACAGAGAGAATGAGAGAGAGAGAGCACGTGAGAGGGGGGAGGGTCAGAGGGAGAAGCAGACTCCCTGCCGAGCAGGGAGCCCAATGCGGGACTCGATCCTGGGACTCCAGGATCATGACCTGAGCCGAAGGCAGTCGCTTAACCAACTGAGCCACCCAGGCGCCCAAGAAGTAGTTTTTTAATTGAGAATCTGAAAGTCTCTAGCCATATCCCATCTCCTTCCTGGAAACTGTTTCTACATCATTGCATTTCACAACGCATTGTAAAATAGGCTCTGATTACGATACTTTGTATCGTAATTTACAGTGACATTTTGATAAGAATTTTGAGATTTGAAGGAAGTGAAATGATTTGCCCAAGGTCACAGGTAGGGTATCTTGATATTGTATTTACAGTGATACTCTGTAAAGCGTTATTTGACTTTCTCATGAAGTGTACCTTTGTACTCTATATGTTGATACCCCAGAACTGCCTTTAATATACTAAATTCAGGCTTTTGTACATCAACAAGTCCAAGTTACCTTTCAGTAACACTGCCTTGTGACAGTGTCTGTCTCTGTGAACATTTTATTGCATACTTCCCTTGTTTAGGAAAAAAGGAGTAGACAATGGGAAACTGAGAGTACTATTAAAAGCACAGGTCTCATACGATTAACATGACTGAAGCAGGACTGGAAATTATGAGATAGGTCGCTAGCGGTAATCGGACACTTCATGGATTTAAATTGGTTGATTCTGTGTTCAGCTGTGCAGGAATAAAAGTGTGTATGAAATACATTCACAACACTGTCCAGGGGAACGTGCTCATTACCTCCCTAGGGATTTTATGTTATACTTAGAAATGCCCCACGTAAGATAGGCTACTTTTGGGTTTCGTGCGTGTACTTACGAACATCTACATGAAATCAAGGGAATGGCTGAGCCAGTCAGAGGAGGCACATGCTGTGGAATGAGGGACAGACTTCCCAGGGCTCCCAATTCTTTGCTTCCTTCTTTTCACCAATCAATCAGGCATTCATTCAATCTACCTTGCTGCTGGTGTATGAACGTTTATTAGCAAGCAGGCAGGAGAATAGTCATGTAAGTTTTTATAGCTTAAGGGACACTCTGCCCTCAGCCACTCATTTACTCATTCTCTCAGGCAGTACAGCTTACTGCTTTGGTGAGTAAGCTCTGGAGCCAGATGATGACCTCGCTGGAATCCCAGCTCTGCCACAGACCGTGGGACCTTAGTTTAGTCACATAACCTCTCTAGGCCTCAGTATGCTCATTTGTACCTATCTCAAAAGGATGTTGAAAGGATTAAAATGAATTAACGCAAATATGATGTTTGTTGAGCAACTGGCCAATAAATGTTAGCTATCATATCATCTTTCGGTCGTTCATCGGTATCTGCTCCGAGCCTTTCTGTATCAGGTAGTAAGGGCTTGGAGACCACTGAGGCCCAGTCTCTGCCCTTGAGGAACTTAAGACTTAGGGGAGGATGAAAACAAAAACAATTGTGCCATATGATCTGTGATTGTACAACTTCACCAGTGTCAGCCTGAGGGAGCACAAACCAACGTTTCCTTCCATTTTTCTGACTCCTCCATTGATGGCATGCCCCTAGAAGGTCCTAGCCCTCCTAGCGAAGATCCAAGCCCACCTAAGCTATGCCTGCAACATTTACCTGCACTTGCCCAGCCTGGCTTTCTGAAAAGGGAGCTTGCACACTGTTTGCTGGGCAGGTCTCGCCCAGTTCTCATGGCAGCCTCCTAACTGTCTTCTCTGTCCCCACCTCTGTTCCCATCTGCCACTCACACCACAGCCAGGGGCTTGGCTCTAAATCACAAAGTTGATCAACCCTGCTCAAAAAAGCATACGGCTCTCCATAACCTATCAAAGAAAGTCCACACACTTCATCCTTATTCTGGCATTTGAAGCCCTTAAGGGGCTAGACCCCAGCTTCCTCTCCAGTGTCTCTACTGGTCCTTCCCTCCCCCATTCACATCCTATGTGCTCATCCTTCCTCACCTTCTAACCCTCGACCATGCGCCCTGCTATTTGACGCCACCCTCCTCTGTGAAGCCAGGCCTGACCCCTCAAAGTAATGACTCTCATTCCGTGGGGCCCTCCCAGTACTTTTACATACCCTGAGGGGCCCTCACCTTAATAGATGGTGGTGTGAACTACACTATGCTGGGCTTGTCAGTTTGCATGTGTGATTCCCCCATTAGATGTTAAGTGTCACAAGGGCAGGTATCAGGTCTATACCTTGTACCCTACCCTGAGGCCTGAGACAGACAGAAGGGTGCCGGGGGAATCCTGGTGGGTGGGGTGCCAAGCACATGGACTCTGGGTCCTGAAAGCACAACTGGCCATGCTCTGCGCAACAGGGCTGGATGCTGAGCCACGTATCCCAGCTCAAACAAAGGTAAGAAAACATATACCAGAGTTCAGTTGTGGCCCCCCAGACTGCTAGAGGTTCCAGCCCAACAAAATCAAAACTAATTGAGGAAGGAGGTGGGTGTGGCAGAGGTGAGTCCTGGGATAAACAAGAGAAGTAAAGAATTTGCTTCCATCCTAAGAGACAGCACCGGGCCTCAAGAGGGGCCCAGACACCTGCTGGATAAAAATCTAACCCAAAACTTTGACTGGACCTTACTTACCATGGAAAGCAGGCCTGGAGCTGAGTGTCTCAGTTTAAAATTTTCATCTGCAAATGGCCCCCGGTAAATACTGGCAACTCCAGTACCATCTCCCTGAGCAGAGAAAAAGGAAGTGTTAGCAAGTTTTGAGTGTTGCTCCCCACCCCCCGTGCCCCTTCGGAACCCAGAGGAGGAATGCTGCTGCACCACAGCCAAGTTTTTTAAGTTGCACTCTTCCTCTTGAAGATCACTTTGCGAGTCACACCTCTTGGACCCTATCTTACAATCAAAGCCAGCCCCATCCAAGGCACCTGCAGCCCATATACTGACCAGGGCATCGCACAGATTGGGTAAAACACGTCACAGCTGGGCCTCTAGAAAGCTCAGTTAAGACGCAGGCAGAGTAGGGAACAACAGTACAATGATCACATACATAATCCTTGCCACACCCAAAGACTCTCATGCCTGCAGTCATATAAAATTACCCACTTAACTGACCACTATCCCCACTCCCCCAAGCTATGCAGGTGGATGGGCTCCTGCAAGCCTCATCTCTACAGATCCCACCCTCCTGACCAAAGCTGACTGGTCCAGGGGAAGATGCCCAGCTAATACAGGGCCAACTAAAGCTCCTTCTCTGGGAATTGTGAAGGAGGACTGATGCTCTCTTTGAGGTTGAATTTATCATGTGAGCCTGGAAGCTGGGTGACCATCCTCTGCAAAGTGGACTGGAGAACAGAAAGAGAAGGCAACACACAGAGCACTGGAGAAACAGAAAAAAAAGGACTGCCTTGGTTTTATGTGGCTTTCCAGTTCCTAGTTCTGTTTCTTCCTTTGGGTTTCATGAAACACCTTATCATAAATCCCTAATTTCTGCTTAAAGTAGCTTTATTAGCATTATCTCTTCGCTCTTCCAGTAACCACATCGAATAAGCACTATCGTCTTCCTCATTGTTCAGATGAGCCAACTTAAGTCAGGATAATAAAGCAACTTGGCCAAAGCCATATTTGCAGTACCTTAAACAGAATTCCTGAGAGGGTGCCAAAAGACCAACTTCTTCCAGCCAGTTAGTAAAGAAAAAGAATATTGGGTGCATGGCAGAAAGGGAAAGCACTGACATAGGGAAGAATCAAGGGGCCCTTATTGGGGCAAAGACTACCAAAGGGGATTAACATAAGCCAGACAAGGAAAAAAACTGTCAAAATCAAACCTTTATTTGATTAAAAATTAATAAAACCAAGCTCTGTGTAGTGGAAAGATTTGGATGTGAGTTCTGGATCAATCCTTTATGAGCTGGGAAAGTCACTTCGTACCACTGAGCCTCACTTCTTCCAGCTATCAAGTGAAGATGAAATCACCTGCTCTTTACACTGCTGCCGTGAAGATCCAATCAGAAAAGACCTTGCAGCTGATATAGCACTATATAGATGTGAGCTATTATCTTTTTTTTTTAAAGATTTTTATTTATTTATTTGAGAGAGAGAGAGAGTGAGAGAGCACAAGAGGGGGGAGCGGGAGAGGGAGAAGCAGACTCCTCGCTGAGCAGGGAGCCCGATGCGGGACTCGATCCCGGGACTCCAGGATCATGACCTGAGCCGAAGGCAGTCGCTTAAC